TCTGTAATCACAGCACTTTGGGAGGTCGAGGCGGGTGAATTTCTTGAGGCCAGGAGTTCAAGCTTAGCCTGGCCAACATGGTGAGACCCCATCTCTACAAAAAATACAAAATTTAGCCAGGTGTGGTGGCGTGCACCTGTAGTCCCAGCTACTTGGGAGGCTCAGGCACAAGAATTGTTTAAACCCAGGAGGCAGAGGTTGCAGTGAGCTGAGATTGCACCACTGCACTTCAACCTGGGCAATGGTGAGACTGTGTCTCAAGAAAAAAAAATAATAATAATACACAGAAGATTTTTAAATGGATAATTTTGACTACATGAAAGTTTAAAACTTTTGTCAAACAACACCAACTAGAAACCAAAAAGACAGCACACAGAATGTGAGACAATGTTTGAAATAATAATATCTCACTACAGTCTAAGATCCAGAATATATTAAGAATATTTAGAACTCAATAAAAAAGACTAATAACCCAATTAAAAACTGGGCAAAAGATGTGAATAGAAATTTCTTCAAAGAAGATACTCAACTGGGCAATAAGCACATTTTAAAAAATCAGGCTGGGCGTGGTGGCTGAGGCCTGTAATCTCAACACTTTGGGAAGCTGAGGTTGGAGGATTGTTTGAGGCCAGGAGTTTGAGACCAGATTGGGCAACATAGCGAACCCCTGACTACAGAAAAATTTAACAGTTAGCCGAATGTGGTGGTGTGCATCTGAGGGCCCAGCTACTCAGGAGGTTGAGGTGTGATTATTGCTTGATTCCAGGAATTTGAGGCTGCAGGGAGCTATGATTGAGCCACTGTACGTCAGCCCAGGAGACAGAGCAAGACCCTGTCTCTTTAAAAACAAACAAAGCCTTACTAAGTCCCCTTACCAAAAGTCCTGGGCCTTGCCAAGTTGTAAATAGGCAAGTTGAACAGTTCTCAAAGTCAAAAGAAGCAGTTATTTATAACTGTAAAACATTTAGCAAACCTAATATCTGTCCCGTATAATTTAGACCACCTGTCTACATTTTTAACAACAACATTTGCATTTTACCATACTTTAAGACTGTTTTTATTTCTCAAGGATTAAAGTCACATGAACTAAAAGGCATTACAGCTTTTATTTTCCCTTCAAAAATATTTGATCGAAGCACTTATTTTCCTTTAGGCCCAATTAATTAGATCTCTCTTCTTTTTTTTTTTTTTTTTTTTGGTTTTTTGTTTTTTTGAGACAGAGTCTCGCTCTTGTCGCCCAGGCTGGAGTGCAGTGGCGCGATCTCGGCTCACTGCAAGCTCCATCTCCTGGGTCCACAACCATTCTCCTGTCTCAGCCTCCCAGTAGTGGATTATAGGCACCTGCCACCATGCCTGGCTAATTTTTTGTATATTTAGTAA